TCACACACCCCGTCTCGTCTCTAGGTTTTTTATTTTATTGTTCTGTTTTAAAACATTAGATTATGAAAACATAGATGATAAAATATGTACTAATCACCTGGGAAAAAAAACATATTCAAGGTACACAACCTTAAAACCACTGTTGTACCTTTGAGGGAACATTTACATTGTTTGTACCTTGATGAATGAAAAATGTATCTGCACAGAACCTTTATTTATAACAGTGTACCAGATGTACAAGACATTTCTGTTGGTGCGGATGTCAATATATGGTTAAACCGCATAAATATAGAAAAAGATGTAATATATTTAAGCAACAGAACACGAGAGGGACTGTGTTATCATGAAATAACATCATGGCTGTGATTTGGTTGCAGCTGTGATGTTATTGGTGATAACATATGACCTCGAGTGTTCTATTGGTTTTATATAACAGTTAAATAAATAAAGTAAGAAATAAATAAATTGGGCCATGAACATGGCATTTAATATGTTTTAATGTTCGCAGTTCCTTCCGCCAAATTATAGTTCCTTAACAAGCAGCTCGGTGATACGTCACAGTAACGAGCTCCGCTCACTCGCTGCACAGTCGTAAGTTCGTTCTCCAGCTCCACACAGACCAACAGACAATTTAGGAATTTAGTGTAATCTCATCTTCAGAGTCTGACCAAATCGGCTGTCGGTCAAATGTGATCTTAAAAGTAACCATTTTCTGTTTGTGGCAAAGTAAAAAGTAAAAACGTTCAAATGGCTTGAGCATCTCCTATAGCTGTCAAAGTCGTTGCTTAGCAACGGCGTCTCAGCTGAGTGATACAGTGTTTGTGAAAAACCTGTGATGTTATGGCGAAATAACAGCGCGGTTAGAACGATTCTCAACCAATCAGCTTGCGTGGCCGGAACTAACCGTTGTATAAATAAACATAAATTACACAGTATCTGCAAGTGATATAAAAGATGTGCAGTTTGAGGTCAGAACTGATACAATCATGTACTGAAGTTTTGAAGTACATACAGCCAAAAGAATTAAGCAGCAAATATAATTTTAGGTGTAAATTCAAACATATTAATATACATATATATATATATATATATATATATATATATATATATATATATATATATATATATATATAGCAACAAGTTAAAGTGTGTAAGTGCACTGACTATAGTAGAGGAGAGTGGGAGAGGCTCTTATAGAGAAGGGTTATGGTATGGTATATACAGTTTTTATGAACATTACAGTGTGTGTAATGAAGTGCACATGCAGCGGATTAAAACAGAGGAATGTGAGACGCTTCCTTGTTTAGGAGAATGATGGCCTGGGGAAAGAAGCTGTGGAGATTATGGTTGGTCTGAGACTTTAGGGCTTTGACCACTGACATGGAAACCACTAGAAGAGAGAGTGAGAGGTGTGAGGGGTCAGTCATAATTTTTCCTGCACCCCCTTTCTCATCCTAGATGAGTAAAGATCTTCGAGGGTGGAGAGCCGACAGCTGTTGATTTTCCCTGTACATCACACTGTTCACTGCAGCTTATGCTTGGTGTGAACATGCAGAGATGGACCAGATGGAGGTAGAAGATGTGATGATGGATTTTATTATGGCAGTGTAGAACTTGACCAGCAGTGCTTGAGTCAGCCAAATTTCATGAGCTGCCACAGGAAATAAAAGCGCTGCCGGGCCTTTATCATAGCTGCAGTGCTGTGTCTGTCCCATTGAGATCCTGCACATACACATGCACACAGTCTTAAACAAAATTTTGGACACCCATCATCATTGATCAAAATATAACATTGATTTTTTTTTTTTTTTGATTTACTCCCAATAACATAAATTGAAAAAAAATTGTACAAAAATTGTAGTTTAATTAGAACAAGAACCTTTATATGGTCATTAATTACTCACTGTAAGGAAGTGCTAAAGTGAACTGGACATAGAAACATAAGCATATAAGAATGTCATTGGCTGTGACCTGCAGTTATCTCAGTCATACTTCTTAAGTTCTTAAATGAGGATGGACTGGATTTGCATAAAAAGCATCACCTGTGATTATGACAGAGGCCTAAATTTGAATACAGGTGCTGGAAGTAAGCAGCGGGATACTGGACCACAGGCTAAAAACCATTCATTACTTTACAGAATGCATTAAGCCTTTAAGCCATGCTGAACATTTTTAAAGGCTCTTTAAAGTGTGTGTGAGTGTTTGTGTTTCTTCAAACCTGTTAAAAACAGTCTGTCTCAAAACATTATAAATCAATTCCTGGTGGAGTAACGACCTTTTTACTATCTTTTCATCCCAGCAAGATCAAAGACAGTGTTGCATCTACTGTGGAGAAGCATAAAACATTGTGGCAGCTACAATAAAATAAAATGAAAAGTACTGACAACACTGTCCATCTGTGTAGTTCTATGTTTTTTTATTTTACCCCAATTTTGTAACTTTATCAAATTTATTTATTTGCCACAAACATTTTTGATCACATTTTTTTCCCTAGAAATATGACTATTCTCCCACAACTCTCTCTCTCTCTCTCTCTCTCTCTCTTCATCCATCTCTCCTTCTGTCTCTAAGGGACAATATGTCATGGTATGCAAATGAACATATATGGGTGCCCCAGTTATTATAAATAGACATTTGTGTTTGATTAAGTGAAAAAAAAAACAATCTTACCTCAGGAAAAATTGGTTCTCTGATGATCCAAAGTGTTCTATTTTATTATCAGGCCAAGTCTTTTGTTTCATTAGCTTTTGCCTCTGCAATATATCAGATATAATGTCCTCTCTTTTCTTAGCTATAACCTTCAAGGCAGTTGTGGATTTCTGCAGTAATTACATATAAAATAGGGGTCACAACGTCAGAATTACGCAGCAGACCATCTGCATCAGTAGGAGTAAATAATGAACATGTATCCTGACCTGTAGAGGCACGTGCAATTTCTATTGCACAGATGAGTTGGATCATGTTTGTTTGCAGTGGGTAGATGAGAAAAGGATGATTCATAACTGCACTACTAGTTCAGATCATACTGCCACCACAATTGTAGTTTGGCAGTTTGAGATTTCCAAATTGTGTTTGCTGCTCTAACAGCCTCTACTTGTCGGGGATGCCTTTGCACTACAGTTTGGAACACGGCTGCATGGATTTTCTTCCATTCAGTCATAAGAACATTAGTGAGGTCGAGCACTGAGGTTGGATGACAAGACCTGGCTCACGTTTGGCATTGCAATTCATTCCAAAGGTGCTGGATGGGGTTGAGTTCAGGGCTTCAGTGCAGGCCAGGTCAAGTGCAGGTCAAGTTCTTGCACACAAAACTCGGCACACCAGTAAAGCTCTTTCACATCAAACTCGGCAGAGCAATGACGTTCTTCCACACCTTGGCAAATAATTTCTTTATGCCTTTGTTTTGTGCACAGGGGCACTGACATGCTGAAACAGTAAAGGGTCTTCTCTAAACTGCTGCCACAAGGTTGGAGGCACAGAACAATGAAGAACATCATTGTGTGCTGTAGCCTTAAGATTTCTCTTCACAAGAACGAAGAGGCTGAAATTCATGAAAAACAGCCAAAGACATTATTTCTCTGCTACCAAACTTTACAGTTGGCACTATGTATTCAGTCAGGTATTCTCCTGACATCCTTCAAACCCAGATTCATCCGTCACACTGCCAGATGGTGAAACATGATTCATCAGTACAGAGGATGCATTTCCACTCCTCCAGATTCCAGTGGCAAAGTACTTTACGCTACTTCAGCCAACTTCAGAACCATTAGTTTCAATAACAGTTTCTTGAGCTGTTAAACTAGTCACATCCACAGTACCCACAAGATCATGAATACAAACTCTACTCAAACCATATGCACTTTAATATCATTCTGAACTGCTGACTGACTTTGTATACACTTGGAATGAACACTACACATACACATCATTGTTTACTGAGCACCACTCCTAAAAATTGCTGCACATATTTTGGACATTTTGCACATACCCACACACACTGTGTGTGCAGTAGTACACTTCCATGTCTCTAGTTCTTCTGTATGTATTGTCTGTAGCTTATTGTCTATTTATTGTATTCTCTATTTTAGTTTTTTACTTATTTTGTGTACATATGTAGTCTGTTATCCAACTAGTACATGAAGTAGCCTGAACATGTTATACTGTACCCCCATATAGGTATAATGACAATAAAGCTGAATTGAATTGAATGGTGATCTTAGGCTCGTGTGCAGCTCCTCAGCCAAAGAAACCCAATCCATTATGCTCTGCATACAGTGCAGTTCAGCACTCAACTTACAGTTGATCAGGGCAGCTTTAGCAGGGCAGACATTTGAGAGATTGACTTGCAAGAAGGTGGCATCTTTTGATAGTCTACATTGAAAGTAACTGAGAATGTAACATACTGACCCTTTAGTATGACCTGCGCTACTGCCAGTATTTACATGCAAAGATTACATGATTCCATGCTTGATTTTATGTGTATTAGCAGTGAGTACAGCTGAAATATGCCAAACCCACTAATTAAAAGGATTTTCCTCATACTTCTGGCAAGGTAGTTTACTTTTAGAATTAACAAAGTTTATTCTCTTGTCGTTATGTAGTTTATCTACTTCCACCAGGGATTAGCTGGTGGTGTGTTTGAGTTTCTATATGAATCGTGGACAAAGCTGCAGCCACTGAATTTTCAGGCTCCAAGATGATACCTTTTAAAATTTTGGCTGACTTTTGTTATGAAATCAATGGCCCACTGTGCTGATCATTTTGTGCTTTTTCACTGAGCAAGATCCTGTTAGATCAATACCTCATAGGTCTGATTTCTTTCCATTTGAAAACACCAGGTATCATTTACATTGTGTGCGAATTTCATAATAAGTGGACCAACACTTAAAATCTTGTTACTTTAAATTATGAGTTAACAATGTTTTTGGTCTTACAGGTATACTTTGTCTGAATCATTTTATATATTTGTAATACTTTTTGTATTAAACTTATGTTTTCAGCTCATATTGTGAGGAGCAGGCAGTGGTGTGAGATGATGCCATGTTTGGATGATGAGGGCTGTGACTTATTAGTAAACAGATCAGGCTGGAGATGTGCACAGCCTGGAGGCAGAGTGAAAACTACCACAGTAAGCCACTGCATTAACTTCTTTTCAGCTCTATATGTCTTTACTGATATAAAAAAGGACACACTTTTTATTCAATAATAAAATTCTCATTGTTTCACAGGTATCCTGACATCAACTGGAGTCAATGCTTCTGAAAGAGGCTGCTGGGTGCAGGAGCTCCTCTCCATCCTCCATGGCCACAGATATCATCTCTATCTGATAGTCTGTCCTTCCGTCCATTGACAGGATAAATGGAAGAAACTACAGATCTGCCCCTGGTGCTTCTGTGGATGGTCTGATGGATCCCACAACTAATGGGAGATGCACAGAAACTGGCTTCATGTGTGACAATCTCAGAAACATATAGATGGATACTGCTGGACTGGACAGGATGTGGATTTGTTGAGGAAGACTGTTGGAGTTTTGTTTCAAGCTCCATTGATATCTGATATTTTTTTCACAGACCAAAGAAAAACTGATTGGACAGTAACCTCTATGTGGAAAGATTTTGAGACATGAGCTGTTAATGACAAGAATCAATGCACAAAAAAACTAAACACAAATATATAAATACAGACATACCTGCATATCCACATACACGTGATCATTGAGCACAGAGATGATTATGAGCATTTGTGAAAGCTTTGAATTCTCTGTGTAACTTTTTGGGATTCTTCAGTTGGTCCCGTTGCTGTATCACGAACATAAAACAGCTATTTTTGGAAGGCGCAACAAGCACGATTGATGACAGGTCAAAAGGAACTTTGACAAAAGACCAATAAATGTATTTTCAAAGGCACAAAATGTATTTAACATTTTTTTAAAATGTAATATCTTTCTATAGAAACAAGAAACTTATTTAACACAGATGATAATGTACTCATGATTGCAACTATAAATGGTGGATCCACAAGCAGCCACGTCCTTGCCATTTTGACTTGTTCTCCTTGGAGATCTACTTACTCAAATGATGTGACAACTTTATTATTCCCACACTGTATTTATCATATGAAGGTAAATCTCAGAATGGATGTCCATCATAATGAAAGTGTTTATGTACCAGTCCTGCTGTTATATGTTATATGACAACTGTCGCCACATTAAGGTAATGGTCCTAATAAGATAATGGAGTTCCACTCTTTCATATATCTTCTGTACGCACTCAGGTCTGCTTCAGCGTGCTTTGTGTCAGGTTTTGCCTCTCTTAGTCCATTACTCTGCCCTTGTCCTCTTCCTTTCCCCCTCTGTACGGAGCCTGTGGAGATATGCTGCTGTCAGCCAGGCTTCAAGCTCCATTTAACATCACTAACAGCCTGCATACATTACACACAGCTCCCCTTATTACTGACACATTGCTGCTGCGCCCCTGCCGGAGTGCTCACCTCTCCTCTGCTCCCTCGCTCAAAGTGACGTGTGTCAGGAGAGAGTGGTTGTATGCTTTATACGCTGCACTGAATAAACTTACAGGAACTTTTGCTGTAATTTACTGCAGTCATATTTCACACTCAGGCTACCATGCATTAAACGCAGTGTGTGCGACTGGGAAAGAGAACCAGCACTTGTCTTTTATAGAGGCGGGGTTAAGAGACTGAAACATCTTAAAGAAAGTAATTGCTGTGAATTGCTGATGTATATGAAGGATAATTTTATTATAAAGCTATCAAAAAGGCCAAGCTAATTCATAATCAGTTACTATATTATCTGGTTAACCCATACTAATTGTTAAAGACATTTTAAACAATTATTAAGCCATTATTAAACTAGCAGTGAAGAGGACGGGCGAGAAGCAAAAGGACCATTTGCCGAAGTCAAAAGCTCTCATAAATTCATAATCTTAGCTTGACGTGATGTATTGAACCTTCATAAATTCCTATACACATCACAGAAGCCTGGCTCACTCATCCACAAACTAAATGAGAAAAATTACAGACTTTGCCAGTTCCCGTTAAAACCCCATTTACATTCTGTCAGCTCCTATTAAGAACGAAGATTGGGACAATGAGCAAAAATATGCACGGAGAAGAAATCCAGCCCCAGTCCATCACGGTAATTTCAACACTGCCTACCAAGCTGGCAGCCGATTTCTCCTCAGTCTGGACTTTCCTCCGTGCATGCGCTACACTAAACACAAGCTGATAAGCACCCTGCCTGAAAACCTGCTTGAACATTATTATACAATTATGTGCATCCAGTAACAGTATCAGCCGTGGATTAGAGGCACTAAATGCTGAGCTATGAATAAATTACCCAGAGATTTTTTGCATAAGCAGGAAAAGCTTACAGGGAGGGGCATGTATGCTCCTAGTCTGTCTGTAGCTAACATAGTTTCATCAAGTGGACATGTTGGGTAATGTGTGTAAAATACTTGGAGATAATCCAAATCATCCAAATTACTGATATAATACTGATATAATTACATAAACAGATGCTTCATGTGAAAATAGGTGTTTTTGTTGTGACACATAGCTGTTTTTGTGCATGCTTTGAGTTTAGAGGCAATTATACTCCAGTTAAAGATTTACCTGCCTATCAGCACGATTCCCCTAATACTAAACTGTCTTGACAAGGAAACGTTGTCTGCAATTCAAATGGAAATAATTAGAGTTGCAGATCAGTAACAAGATCCTATTGCTCTGTCATTGAAATGTCAGAATAAGTAGCTGGGTCTCAGCTGTGCTTCTGAGCAAACTCTATTTTCTAGAATTGAAGGGAGAGATTAAAAGTGATGTATGTATAATTGTGAAAAATCTAAACCCTGGCCTCTTTTTATAGTGCAAATAACTGATGATGGGGAAACCAGGAGAGAACTCCGCAATTATAGATAATTGTGCTGCAATTATAAATTTGCATGACAAAACCGCTGCTTACATTAATACCTGACCAACAACTTTGCACCTGGAGTGAACACAAGCAGGGGAGAGCAGTCTGCCGCAGAGCATTCTACCTTTCTTTTAAAGGTGTAGAGGGAAAAAAGCAACCCAAATATGTGTTATTATCAAAATATAGTTCATTACAAAATATGGGATTCACTATCACAAAAAGACAATTGCTTACACTTCCATGAAAGCTGGAGATTTGCTCCATGTGTATTACATTATCCCTCTCGACAAGGCTCCTGCAGAGCTCCTGTAGAACTGCCCTTCAAGCAGCCGTATTGTCCCACCATTAATCATCTGCAGCCAGTGTTATCATCCTCCCCAGAGGCCAGGAATGTGTTCTCACACTGCACTGAGACCTGCCTGTACCTAGCCTGTCCATTTCAGCCCCTACAGGCCCATCTGAAGCACAAACTCCAGCCAAAGTCACCATTCTTTAGGGAGACAGAGATTTCAAAGGACCAGGACAAGCTTCATTTAGGTTACACGCTGCACAGTGACACTCAGGTAATGTTGAATTTAACAGAGACTTGAGTTCCAAAGCTTTAACCTCTCAAACTCAAAGGAACAGTGGGCTGTTCCTGACTTTTATTTGTCACCCTCAGAACAACATAACTTTACTGGAAACTTAGTCTCAAGCAGCATTACACTCCTATTAACTGACATCATAAAACTAGCAACTTTACCAAAATGTCCCAGGCAAAACAACAAGTTTTATTAGGTGTTGTAATGTAGTAGCAGCCTTACTTTCATGAAATGTCATTCTAATGTGCAGGAGTGTTAGCTTACCTGTAGCAATGCTTGTATTTCATGTACTTAATGATCTAGTAATTTAAAAAAAATGCAGTTACATTCAGGAAAGAATGTACATAGGACAAAGCATATTGGCTTTGGAACATGTTTGTTTATCACACAGCATGATGTGATTTTTGAAAACATCAATTATTCTCCCATAGGCAAAAATGACTTAGACCAAAAGAAAGAACCTTTTGGAACAGGAGACACTTGCTAGTTTGAAAAAAAGTGTTGGAAATGTTCACTTCATCATGTCTTTAAAAAATATTCATGCGTTTTCTTTAAGGCTAGAAGGTAATAAATGAGACATCCCAGTGACGCATTTCACTTTGTTTAAGCAGGTATATTCTTGTTATAGTCCTGTTTGAGGATCATCTGCCCTTACTCATTGCGTAAAAACAGTGCTCTGTGATTGGTCATTTAGTATATCAGATAAATGGCTCAGTCTTGTCAAAGTAGGTGGTTCTTGGGCATGTTGAGTGATGAAACCTATCAGACTCTCTGGCGCAGCCAGAAGACAACTGCATTAGGTTCAAGATTAATAACTGACAAAAAAGGACAAGAGTTAAAGGGGTTAAGAAAGGAACATGAACACAACACAAGAGAACACATCAGTGGAGAAAGAACATTATTCATTCACTATGAGTAGGAAACAAATGAACCAGGACAAAATCGTGTTTGCTGGCCCAAATGGAGAATTATGCTATGTTTTGGTATGCAATGAAGAAGTTATCATTCTGGAAGAATTTCTTACTGGTTTGGACAATTGCAAGCATCAGATACCAGTATATAAAAGCTCATAGCACTCAGGTACAAACAAGATGGCCCAGAGTCCATTTCATAATAGAATTCATGCATTTAAAAATAAATAATGCTCTTATCAAGTTGCAAAGCATCACTTTGTGCAGTGTTGTGTTTTTATGATAACCTTAACATTGCAATAATTTGTGGACATTTGAATACTGAGACCATACAAGATGACACGTTCGGATGCAGACTTAAAAAGGCTGTCAAAACAAGATTAGAAAAGGACTCACATGGAAGACAATGCTTCACTGACCATGAGTTATTCTGAGCTCCTGCTACCAAAACTGATTGATTTACATCCGTGACTCACCAGACACATGAATGTCACCTTTCCACATCAGTGGCCTTCACTATACAAAGCGACAGGAGCAAAGAAGGCAGCAGAGGTGAGAGAGAGGGAGGCTGTGTTGTGCGGAGATATGAACAACAAGAACAAACAGAGAAACTGACAAGATGACAGATTTAATGAACAGAATACACAAAATGCCACAGATGACACAGGTGATATTTGGGGATTCGTATGTGGAAATAGGTGGCGCGGTGCACTCACTTCAAGTTTGGTTCTTACATATGAAAATGAATGGAAAGAAAATAGTATATTAAATAGCTTGTTTAGTGAATGACTTCAAATGGTCAAATTAATTCAAACTGTTATTTTTTTTCATTTCTATATTTTATATATATATATTTTTTGCAGCAAAGATAGGTCATTTTTCTCCTAATACATATCTGTTTTCTCTAAATACTTTCAAATGAACCCTTTTCCCTGCACAGATGTTCCTAATCATTGTTCTTGATCATCACACAGTCCTGCTGCACCATTTCTTTGTGTGGCCTTGGTCGTGTCCAGCCTGCTGAGTCGCTCCTCTGTGCTTTATAATCCAACATGGCTGACAGCTGACCGCTGATGCTAACAATAGCATGACAGCACGACAGCCAGCACTAAAGAGCATTGAATGATAAATTACCCTCTTCAGCTGCTCCAACCAACAGCCCTTTAGGTCAACCAAACAGCTTGACGTGACATTTTTCCTGTACTGTATATGCAAAGTGCTGCCAATCAATTAACAGCTTCGCTGTCCTCTCTCGACTGCCCATTAGAATGGTCAGAAATTGATTGTGAAGTGGAAAATCAACACAAAAGTTGCCAGGAGTTGAGATTCATGGCAATAAATTCAGCACTTTTATATTGTTTTTTTGCAATAGACAGTGTCAAAAGGGAGCTTTACAGAAATCCAGGTTCAAGACCCCTAATGAGCAAATCTATTTTGACAGTGACAAAAGGGAAAAAAAAA